GTGATTTTTATGCTGTACTTGGAAAACAATGACAAGAAAAGTTCTGTTTATGCTCAGTATACACACAGCATTTTGGGGTATATTTGACCTGAAGTGATTGAACCTGGGTTGCAGAACCTATGAATGCAAAGAGCCAAGTATATTTAGTAGAACACTTTTAAACTTATTGTGCTTTTCCCCTTTGTCATTATGAATTAAAAACATTAAATATTTTAATGTATTTTATATATACATATGTAAATGTATAAAATATAAATGATCATTATACATTGTCATTTATATCATCAATTTTCTTTAGATTACTTCTATTTTCATCATTTTTATTTCTTTATACTAATTAAAACCCCTGATCTTCCACCTGAGATCCTATATTATCTCTTCTGAAGAGGTATTTTGTTTTTTTTTCTCAAAAGTATCACTAATTTCTCTCAAAACATTGTTTTCACTTCAATTTTTTTTGCAATGTATGGAATTTTGGTTGGCAATTACATTTTTTCAGGACTTTGAAAATGTTGTTCACCTGTCTGTTTTCCCCTGTAGTTGTAGAGAAGTCAGGTTTTAACTTAACTACCACATATTAGAATGCAATCCATAAAGTATTTTCAACCTTCCAGTAGCTTTAAATTTTTCTGTGTCTTTAGTTTTCAGCAGTAACTGATGTGATTAGGTGTAGGTTTCTCTTATATTTACATTGGTGGTTACTGTAGATTTTTTAAAATAATACATTTTTTTTAGATGCAGATGGACACAATACCTTTAATTACTTAATTATTTATTTTTTTATGTGGCGCTGAGGATTGATTCCAGTGTCTCACACATGCTAGGCAACTGGTCTACCATGAGCTACAGTGCAGCCCCATTGTCACAGCTTTTTGAAAATGATTTCATCTTTCATCAATTGTTCCAAAATTATTCTCTTCAAATGTGTTTCCACTCCATTTTTCTTTTGTACTTTAAGATTACTATTAAAATTATAACAGACATTCTTATCCTTCTTTCTATGACTCTTACCATTTTTATTGGTTTTTAGTTTTTTCCTTTTTGTGCATATTTAAGATATCTTTACTAACAAATTCTTAGTATTTAATTTGCATTAAACCTCATAGTCATTCAGTGTGTGTGTGTGTGTGTGTGTGTGTGTGTGTGTGTGTGTGTTTTACTTCTAGAGTTAATATTTTTTCATATTTTGGGGTTTCAAATTCTCCTGTGAAAATTTAAATCATTTTTTTAATCACCTCACACAATTAGTGTATCAAAATTTACTTTGGCTATTTGGAGCCCCTGTAGATTTTTATCTGTATTGTTTGGCTGCTGCTAGTTTGCAGTCTAGCAGAAGTGTAAGTGCCGCCAAAATTTTATATTACTCTTGCTGAAATATTTGCTCTTCATTTTGTACTTCAGCTCTTCAGTCGACTTCACATTTGTTATAAAGCATATCTCCAAAGCATTATTTTGAAAAAGAACAAATCAAATGTCTTTTACTTTGTACAATTGATCAGAAAACAGTGAGTATATATTTTATGAAAATCCATTCCATTTCTGTATGTCCAGAAAAAAACTATAAATTAGAAGGGTTCATTAGACAAAACCTGATGTGAATGTTCCATTAACCTGGATCCACATTTTTCTGCTCATTAGATGAATGCCACTGGGCAAGTTTTTACTCCACTTCTTTTACCTTCTGGATAATATGATGGCAACATTTCTCTTAATGGGTTATTGTTAGGATTTAAAAAACATTTGCCACAAAATAGTCAATAAATTAAAGTTGCTTTATTTTTCCAAGAATTGAAGATTCATTTTTTTTCAATCTTTAATTATGTGTAGTTTTGGACTGTTAAAAGAAGCAATATAAAATGTCTATTTGAATCATCTCAAATGCATGTTCACATTATCTATGTAAATGACCCATTAGAGGAAACAATGATGTCTATGAACATTTTTGGACTTGGTTTGTCTGCCATACTTTTCAGATCTTGCAAAATGAGAGCAACGGGACACACATTTGTTCTCCAGCTGTATTTTGTCTTCTCAGGCTGTATACAAATCAATACCCTAGTGTTGCTGCCTTCCCGTTTATCTTTTCTAATATATCATATATAAACTACTTTAGAAAAGCCATATTTATTTGCAGGGTCTCTGTTAAGCTATACACTTTGTAGTAGAAAAAAGGAGACTATGAAATTTGTGTGTAGTAAGTAATCAAACTCTTGTATATTTAAGAGGGTGTTTTGTTAATCCTTCAATTTTTAAAGGAATACAGGGGAAATGCTACACATCACAAAAATGCACATGGCTTTAAGGATAATACACATGTTTATGTTTATAGGTTTCAGAAATTTGAATTCAGTATATGGTAGGGGTCTTTCTAGGTACATTTATAAATCCTTCATAGAATTCCAATGGTCACAATTCTTCATAAAACATGACTATTTACCTAAAGTTGACAAAATATTAAAAAGTGCTTCAACAAAATGCTTATTTATTTTATATTTTTTGTATTTGAAAACACATTAAAAAGTGTAGATTTTTTTTTTGTGTGTGTGTGTGTACCAGGGATTGAACCCAGGGCATTTAACCACTGACCCACACCCCAAGCCCTTTTTTAATTTATGAGACAAGATCTTGCTAAGTTGCTGAGGCTGGCTTTGAATTTGTAATTCTCCTGCTGCAGACAGGTTTTTTAGGCATGCTTCCACAATACCCGGCTCAAAGTTACAAAATTTCTTTACATTATTTATTAATAGATTAAGTATTTGAATATTAACATAAATAACAAAAATATTTCGGTAATAACTGATCACCTGAAAATAATATATATTGAATGCTAACTATATCCCAGGCACTAATAGCACTTCTACTATAGTATATCATTCGATCTCAAATGCAATCATTAGCTATCTGCATTGTCCATTGCTTATATAGATAGGCAAATATATCAGACAACTCCCTGATCAAATTGTTTTTCAGAATCACAACTTTGTCTCTCCTGTAGTTTTGTTTTTCTTCAAATTTGTCATATGCCACCTAGTGAAATTTATAAAGAACTGCGACTTTATTTAATACTATAATACATTTTCCTGTGGTGGTTACATTTCCTCTAACCACTTTTCTCTTACATGTTGAAATTCAGCTAATGACATGGTAGGAATGTAGGTACTTAACCATTTATGTAGGCTTGCCCCAGGCAACCCTAACATTAGAAGTTTGTGTTGCTAATTAACAGATAAAAATCTTAGCTTCTATAGTCATAAAGTAAAAGGAAATGAGGAGAAAACAGGTCAAGGGTAAAAATTTAAACATATTGAGTTTCAGTTAAAGTTATATTAAAATTTTCTTTAGTTTTTTAACTATTCCAATCTCACTGTATATATAATACATAACTATATCTGGTGTTACTGTTTTTGTCCTGGTAAGAAATCCTAACTATTAGGAATTTTCCAAGTAATATAAAAACATATTTTTTCCTTAATTTCATTTAACCAGGCTGTTTCAAAAGTCAACTGCCTTATATAAACCTTATTCTCAAAAAGAACATTTTTTGTTTACAAAATGAAAAGAAAAAAATACTGGAATTACAATAACTTTTTAATAAGGTAAATAGCCTGCTACATATATTTTTCTATATAGTCTATTTGACTCTACTTAGAAATAAGTTGATCCTACATTAATCTAGTTTTTTTATCAGGTAAATTTTTAAAAAGACAAGATTTACAATTGTGTGCTCAAGGACTGAAACAAGATGACAAGGTACAGGATCTGGAGGCACTTTCTGCTACATACAGGTGTTGCATGAACTCTACCTGTGACAAGATATTTGAGAAAATGTCTTTGCCATCTAAAATGTCTCTCCATCTGCTAGCTAGACTTTTAGATTTGAATTTAAGAGCACAAAATTTAAAAGAAAAGAATGTAATGTTTAAATGAACTCAGGCAAAAAAAGGAGGGGGACAAGGATGGATGCACAGAAAACTAAGTGACAAGTCGGGCGATCACAGCTATTCGGGAGGCTGAGGCAGGACAAATTCAAGTTCAAAACTGGGCTGAGTATGTTCTCAGTAGTAGAGCACCCTTTGTTCAATTCCCAGTAATGTGCCATAACAAAACAAAACAAAACAAACACAAAAAACCCACTGTGCCTGTCCACCAGTATGGTAACCTTGCCTCAAGTTACATTTCATACCAGATCCTAGAGTCTGAAATGGGTTGAAAAGAGGGATGTTGTAAAAAGGGGAAAAGTGTCAGAAAAATATTTTTGCCTACTTCACAATTTTCCCTCCAGGGATTTTATTTATCTTGTATAGCTTAGAACTTATACCTGTACCAAAGCTCCCATAGACGAGCTCGATTTTTTCCTACTTTGTCCATAAGCTGAGTGAAAAGGTGAAGAGTTGGTAGTTGCTCATTTATTGTGATAGTTCTCTTGGTAGGGCTGATGTAGGGAGAACATCAACAGCATGAGACTCATGCTCCTTAGGTGTACATACCATTAGTTCACATCCTGGCTTTAAAGTAAAATGACACATCTCTCAGAATAAGGGTAGCAAACTTTAAAAGAAGTTCTACATGGTAGAACTTTCTGGTAAGGACTGAAAGAGAAGCAGATCTACATTGGATAATAAAGGGAAAAAATTGTTAATACCAAGTAAATGAAATGGCTCATGTAATTCTATATAAAATGATCACAGTCATTTTTTCTTTTAATATAAATGGCTCAAGTTGTCTCTGAGGGCATGCAACAGTTCATGCCAGCAATGTTGCTATTTTATAGGCATAAATGAGTTCCCAAAGATGTTTACCCCTGGGTGGTAAAACATGTGCATTAATAAAACATGTTCGATAATTTAATCAACAATAGGGAAATAATGAATTACTTAGTGAATGTTTTTAAAGAATAAATTATATGATTGGGAACTTTAAGTTTTTTTTATATATATAAAATTTGTTGTGTTTCCAAAAGCATGGAAAGTTTTCTAAATCTACTTTTTATCTCCCTTGTACACACATAAACACCAGGCACACATATTTCCTTTTTCATCTTAAATTTTCTTCTAAATAAGCAGACTTCCCAGGCCTAGCCTTGATGCCAAAATGAAGCCCTTTCATTCACTGATTGAGATCTGGCTCAACAGCCAATGTTTCCCGCTGGGTCCTTACAGAGGGTGCATTCATATTTTATCCTAATTTATTCATTATCAAACATCAAACCTTTGGAAGATAAAACAAAGAGCTAGGGAACAATGCAGGGAGAACTTACTGCTCTGTTTTCATCTTTACTCTCAGATGAAAGAATTCTTCAGTAGCATTGCCCACTCTAATACATCATCCAGGTAATTGGGGGCAGGTGGGGGGAAGTGACAGGCTGGGTCAAATCCACCTTCTGCGTCCACTGATGTACACAATGATCTCCAACATCAAAAGTATCTAATGAGTATTTGAGAATCCAGGGCATTGCATTAGTTGACCCAATCTTGTAATTAAGTATCAAAAAAACGCATGCTTTCTGTGAACATTGACTAGTTACATAGCAAGATCTACACAAGCAAAACAAAAGACCTTAGTCCTACTTTCCTTGGTGGAGGAAAGATTTAATGACAGCTCTGGACAAGCACCAGATTTCAGTATCAAAGACCCCAGCTTCTTTTTAGCTGTTCTACTTTGAGATTGCATAGAAATGGATAAGCTGTCTATCTTTTCATTTGTAAAAATGGGATATTTCATTTTCAAGGGTTTTAGAGAAGAAAGGTGAAATCATAATATGAAAGTTGAATAGGAAATATCTTAAAAATGCTTGATGTATTGTTATTATGACATACTGATACTATTGCTTGCTCTTGGCAGGTGAAGCAGCAAAGAGAGCAACTTTCTCTATAATTGGTTACAAACTTATGATTTGATAGTACCAGGATAGCCCAAATACAGATTTTTCTGTCTCTTAAGATTTCATCATTATGAATTTATTCTTTGGTTTAAGAGAGTTTATTCTTTTGGTATATGAAAAAAGAATTGTTGACAATATGAAGAAGAGATAAATAAATGAATATTGCCTTCTCTTGTGAATGACCCTAGTCAGAATCAACAGGCAATGTTCATAGAGGAGCACAGGCACACCAAGGGGGAAAGGGGGTGAACTCACAACCGGTTCTGTGGGCAGAACCGGAGGATTTCTTAAATCCTTGCTGAATAGAGGCTTTCCATGGTATCCCACCATGATTCCATTTTAAGTGACAGACTTTCTAAATGATTGACTAATGGACCAACTCCAAACACTCTATTGAGGTCCTAGAAACTAATCACATGTCCTATTGTTTTTACTCCCTTTATCATTTACAGTATAAAAATGAGGCACTTTTTACTTAAAAAGCAGCTCAATAATGGCCTGTCGAGGTGTTTGCTGGATTTTTCCATTTGGCCCACCATTCACAGGCATCTGATTCTCGCAGACTGGATCCTTAACTGTCAAAAAGATTTCTGCCTCTACCTTTCTCACCTCCTACTGGTCCTCATACCTTCATAAAGCAGTTAAGTCATTTCATGCAGCTGTCACCAGCACATGATCATTTCCTTTTTTGATACTTCCTAGGCAATGATCAGACAAAAGCGGAGAATAATATGGATTTACTTGGAAAATTCAGGATTCTGACTGGACCGTTTCTGAACATCATGTTTTATTTCCTTTAATGACAACCCCAGGGCAGTCTGGATGGATGTTTGTTGATGACAGCCCAAACAAAAGAGGACCCAAGTTCTCAAAGTTAATTCTGGTTTGGGCTGACATGATCCTGGATCATAAGGATAGTGATATCTTAGCTTTACCCAGCAGTTATATATGGCTGACACAATGAGAGGATATGGGTCTCCTTGTATTTTATAAAAATGACTCTCGTTCCTCTTGGACCTGTTCCTTCTGGACCAAATGCATGGGTAGGGAATGTTTGTAAGAGAGGGAATTATTGCAGATGAAATTGGGTGTCCTGATCTTGTGATGGTAGAGAGAGAGCAACTTTAGCACAGGGGAGGGAACATCCTGGACCCAAGAGTGATTGTGGAATGATTATTATAAAAATGATGATAAAGATAATGTAAAAGAACCTATGATAATATCTTGAGCCTGGATAATGCTTGTGAGATCCTAAAATACTGATTTCTGTGACTCATAGAACACTCTGTAGAGCTCTGTCTGTATAAGATAACCATCTAAAAAAAAATTGGCACTTGGTTGGCCATGGGTCCTAGCTGTAGGTTAGAAGCACTTTAAAACCTTGGGTTAAAAGCACTTTAAAACCTTGTAGGGGCTTTACATATGGGAAAAACACTCTAAATGCTTTAAGGAGTCAATTCAAAATACAGAAAAACAAATTGGGGAACAGGTTTTACCACCCATACAATCTTCATTATTTTATTCTTTCACCCTCTTGGATTAATTTGTCTTGAACAGATGAAACCTTTAATATAAAACTGAATACTTAGAAGCATAGATTTCAGTTGATTTTTAACTGCTGTATTTAATGCAGACAAAAGTGATGATTTTTCAGCCTTAAAAAAAAAAAAGTTCTAGACACCGAATTTACTAGCTAACCATATAAAAGGTAATGAAAATGACCATTTTTTCTTCTATATATTTTAAATGTACAGCAGTACACACTAATATGTACACATTTAAATTTATATACACCTACACATATATGCATGTATATGGACATGCACATCCTTATAACTTTAAATAATAGTTAATGCAATGTTTGAATATTTATCTGGAAGAAAATTTTAAGAATTAGAATCTCTTTTTCTGTTCCCATGTTTATCAGAATTTTAATGAATATATTTCAAATGTCATATTGAAAAAATGCATGCATATAATTATTGGAGAAAAACAGGTTCAGGAAAATGCTAAAGATAATGGATCCAAAGTTGTTTCTGGGTTAAAAACAAGTTTGAAAATAAGTGATTTAGAGTATAATATACAGAGTCTTTTGCTACATTTTTTGGTCTTCATCTTATTTTATGAATTAGATTATGTAGCATTCTGTCTGAAAAGATTTTGATATGATTGCTTCATCTCTAAGACACTAGATAGCAACATTTCTTATTTATTTACCCCCACCCTTTGAGAGTAGCAAAGCTTTCCCAAAGCCATTGATAGTTTTCTTACAAAATTGAGGTATTTCTGTAATAACTCCTATTATTGAATATAGATCTAGTTGCTAAAAAGATCAAAATAGCAACCATCTATAGAAGAAATATTTTTAAACTTTTAACAGATTTACTTATTTTTCTTAATAGGTTGATATTAGTGTTTGGGAATCTTATCTTTACTTAAAAAGCAAACAATTTTTAAAAAATATTTATTTTTTAGTTGTAGTTGGACACAATACCTTTATTTCACTTATTTATTTATTTTTTATGTGTGCTGAGGATCGAACCCAGGGTCTTGCACATGCGAGGCAAGTGCTCTACCGCTGAGCCACAAGCCCAGCCCCCAACAATTTTTAAGCTATGTATTTTCACTCCTTTTAGATGTTTGATAGGTACAGAACTTCTCTATGGTTTGTAAAAGCTATAAACATAATACAGGTCTATAAAATGGTATATGTACAAAAATTAGAAAATTGGAAAATAATTTACTAATACTGAGGAGCACTTAGTTGGGAGCACATTTTAAAAAATTGTTCTACTAGGAAGACTTTCAGTTCTAAAGTCATTTTATTCTTTGAAACACTTAATGAGGATTACTTTCAGATGAAATGGCTTCCTATAAGCATTTTGCACATTTGTGAATACACTAGATCTTTTTCAAAACCGTTATAAAAATTCACATCACAGCCTTCTGCCTTTTGAAGCTTAAGTGCTTTCACATATGACTTGCTTTATATCACCACTGTTGCTTTGGGAAGACATGCTTTAATTTTGGCAAAAATATCGACAACATTTAAATATTTATAAGCCATGCTCCATATCTGATGAACAACTTCAATGGAGTTTTAAGTTACTACTCAGTTTTCAGCTACTCATTCAACTCACGTTTCCATTACTTTCTGTTTCTGTTGAAATTGATGGACGATTCCATGCAAAGGAAGCCTTTTTGAAGAACTCGGGAGGTTTTCAAGTCTTTCTCTTCTTTCTCTTCATTAGGGCAGTTTCTATGAAGACTAATGAAGCAAACACTTTTAAAAGATTAAATTCCTTATGTTTAAAACTCAAGGATCCTCAGAGTATAGTCATTTCTGAAACCCTGCTGAGAGAGAAATAGCTTCATCTTGAATTATCAGATACTACTGCACAACAAAATACTAATGATAAATAATAGTACTGCATAGCATAAAAGTATAAGTCTCATACCTATCATACTATCTTTTAAGAAGGAAAATTTCAGTAGCCAAAATAAAATTTGAGGATCCAGGAGTTCAAATTCCCTATACTAAGTTTAGGGGAGGCTTGTAAGTTTTTTTAATGTCATTATCTTGGTTTACTTACACATTGAGTTATATTTCTGTACCCGTGGATGCATCAAGAAATCGTGGATTTGTTAGATTACACATGCTTTTTCTTAAACAGCTCTCTTAAAAGTAACAAATATAGATTTCAAAGTTCATTCCTAGAAACAAGAGTTTCATGTAAATTCCATTCTTGAACTTAAGAAATAATAACTGTAAAATAATAGTTGCAATGAAAATAATTGCAATACTGGGAAGTTTTAAAATTAAAAATAATTTACTTCTTCTCTTTCCTATCTTTGAACATGAGTCTCTACCATACAGTTATATGAAGAGTTACTGGATCTGATTTTAGAGATTTTGATTTTATATATAAATAGCTTTATCCTGCTCCAAAATAGCTTTTACAAGTTTTCATCTTTTATCAATGACCTCAAGTTTTTAAAATTAAGTGGATACTTTCAGTATCCTTTTACTTGATTTCTCAATGGCATTGACCTTTGTGGAGCTTTATTTGAAATTTCCTCATCTTGCATTACCCAGAACTTGTCATTTTGTCTTTAACAAGGCTCCACCTCTTCCTGAACTTCATCTCTTCAGTTCTGATCATCTTTACATTCTCAGATGGAGGACCACATTCTCTAAGAAACTATTCTGTACTCCCAAACATTTTCTCAACCCTGTGATTCTTTCCTTCAAACCACATTTCAGAGTGGTAATTGTACTTATGAAATTATTTGATTAAGGATTTTTCATCACAGCATCACAATGTCCAGAGGAACATAATGAATGTTTTGAGTAGTACCTTCAACTATTTTGCAGAGCACCTATAATACAGCAATGACTTAATAAATATTGGGGCTAGGGATATAGCTCAAAAAGTTAAGCTCTTGCCTACTGTGCAGAAGACCCTGGTTTCAATAACCCAGTACACACACACTTTTTTTTTTTTAATGAATGAGTAAACATCATTAAAGGAAATCAGAGGGCATGAAAAATACTATTCTGAATCTCATACTATTCATTACACATTTTAAAAATACTTTCAAACTAACTTGCTGTGTGAGATTTCCCCATGAGCTTTATTTTGAGGACTAGATATTTCTAGCTTCTGTTTAATGCATTGCTCAAAGATGAGCTTATGATTTTGTTGCTTTAGGCTATAAGTGCCAATTTAAAGGTACTCATTCTGGCAAAATCTATGATAAGCTGGGCTTAAACAGGGATAAATGAGGTGAATGAAACATGATTTATGAAAATGCTTAGGTATATAAATAATAACACCTTGATTCAAACTAAATCGACTCTTAATTTTGAAATCTATTTTTTGCAAATCTTAGACAGTTTAGCTTCTAGAAACAATTATTGATGTTGAAATCATAAGAGAACAGTTAATAGGAAAATGGGCATATGTATAGCATAGCACCAAAGTCATCAAACAGAAATAAATGCCTGTAATTTCTAATCTATGATGGGCAAATAATAAGGGTTTACCTGGAGCTTATTAAAATGTTGTCTCTTAGGTGCATTCTGACATCCTCTTTCAGAAGCTAAAGTTTAACAAGGCCCTCAAAGGTTTTACCAGATATTGAAATGGAAAAATTTTTTCCAAGTTGGAGATATTAATTGTAGACTTCAAAGTATTTGAAGAAATTATTAAAATAATCAAAGTCAATTAATGAAGAATATATTTTGCTATTTACAAACTAGAAAAGGGAAGAAAATACCAAGAATATTTTAAAAAGCAAAGTAAGAAAAAGACATAACAAATTGAAAGTGTAAAGCATGATAGATAATATAAATTCTAACATAAGCATACAAGGCATATATTTTAAAATTCTCTTCAGAAATATTTATCCTTTCTTACCCTTCTTAGTCTGAGGTGGCACTTGTAAGTTATATCCAAACAGTGAGGGTTTGATAGTTTTCTGTCACTTATGGACAGTATATTTTTATAGGTGGTAGAGAATAAGAGGAGAAATGTTTTGCTTTCTTTCATGTTATCCCAGAATTCCAAAACATGATTCTGGATAATCATTATGTGTACATGTATTTGTTATCTATTGTTGTGTAATCAACTACCTCTAAATTTGAGACATTTAAGACAGTAAACATTTACCTTAAATTTCCAAGGATCCGGGATCAGGGATAAGCTGGGTAGTTCCAACTCGGGATCTTTCAACAGGTTGCTGTCAAGATGTCAGCCAGGACTGTAATCATAAGTTTGTCTGGGACCAAAATATCCCTTTCTAAGCCAAATTCCCTGGCTGTTGCCAGGCCTCAGCTGCTCATGGGCTGTTGGATTGAGGGCCTCAGTCCCCTGTCAACCTCAGTCTCTCCATGGGGCTGCTAGCAGCAGGACAGATGATTTTTCTTTGGCAAATGATGAGGGACAGAAGAGGGAAGAAGGGAGGGACAGATACCACTCTCCTTTTAGCCTGAACTCAGAAATAGCATTATTTCTAGCATATTCTGTTTTAGAAGCAAGTTACTAAGTGTAGCAAATACTCGTGGGAATTAAGCACCACCTCTTGAACATTTCTTGTTAAAGAATTTGTGGATATAATTTTGAAAGCATCATGATATGAAATACTAATATAGGATGATAATTGTTTTTAAACTTATAGCATGAGAATGTAGTTGTTACTATGAGAATTGCAGATCTTAAAGAGCCAGATATTCCTTTTTTATTAAATATATTTCAACAATTTTATTTTCTTATTATAGATTCATTATATGAGAAATTACAAGAAAATATAAGAAAAGGATATTAGCCCACATTTCAACAACCACAAATGACAACCCTCTCTGTTTGACCATTATAGTACCTTTTCTACCAAATATTTTTATATATACATATTTTTATGTGCATGAATTTTGGCAAGCCTACCCGCTGTACCCCAAACCTCTATTCTCAGTCTCATTCCAAAGTTTTACAGATTTGCTTGCTTTCATAGCTTAGTCCCTGGAAGCAAATTGCTTAAGAGTAATTCTGATCGGCATAAGAGGTTTCTTTTTTTTTTTTTTTAAGCTTGATTAATTAATTTTAATGTCCTTGTTTTTCTTTTTAAAACTGAATAAATATGAGCTGATTTGTGATTTTGGCTAATGTCTTTTTTTTAAAAAAAAGTGAGCTAAAATGGCATATTTTCTTATTTTTCATTCCAATTTGGGTTTAATTAAGATAAACCTGTCAGAAAATGAAAGCCAAAGAAAACAGCCAAAGATAATGCCTAATCACCATCTGTCATAATTAAGCTTATGACAGTGGTAATCTTCCAGAACACGTGGGGCTTGGCAGTGACCAGGGTCCTCTCAATTCTACTTTACTATTGTTGTGACCTTTCCCAGAATCCATCTCCAGAGGAGGATTTCTTTTAAGATTCATTTTTTTTTCTTTGTATTTAAAGTGAATCAACTTTAAAATGTAAAATAATATTGCTTTACAATTATTATCAAGATCTGTGAGATGCCTGAATAACAGTGAAAACTTAGATTACCCAATCTCTTGTGTATTAACATATACTACTTATAGCAATGCTTTTCTGTTTTACACTACGATTATGGATGAGAAAAAATATACATATTTTTGAAAGGTAATGAATGCTAGGAGTTGATTTAACTTCTTATAGAGACTAGAAATACAATGCTTCAATTTTATTCAGAATACCTTTTCTAACTCCTGTAACATGAGCTAGGAGCGCAGCACTCTTATAAAGTTGTGAGGACTCAGATGTGTAATATCTTTGGCTTGATCATCCTTTATGTATGGCTTCCGTCTTCACATTTGCCTCATTCTCACAGGATGGTTGTTAGACTCTCACAATTATTACTTTAATCTAGATAGTAATAAAAGGCAAAGCAGAAGCCTGGGGAGATAGCTCAGTAGAATAGTTGATGCTCAGTATGCTGAAGTTCCAGGATTGAACTACCACCTCCCATCTAATAAAACAGAAAAGCAAAAGATCTCCAGATCCCCTGCTGGTTCCGGAGTTCTTAAAGAATTTTCTCAGAAACTTGCTCCATAGTTTATTCTCATGTATCATTGGACACCTTCATAAGCAATGCAGCTGGAAAAAATATAATTTTCCAAATGGACACATTACTGCCCTTAATAATGTATTTTGAAGAGAATCAAGTAGAGAAGAGATACTAAGTAGGCATCTAGATGAAGGAAATGGGGTGGGAGAAATATGAGGATAGAAATCTGTTTTTTTTTTTATGCCAACTAGGAATTAGAGGGAATACTAATATTCTTTAGGTAACACCATTTGTAACAGATATCAATAGCCACAGCTTCACATGAAGAGCTCTATCCACTCAAATATTGGATTTAATGACCAAATTTTAAGATGTTTGCCATTCATAAATAAGAATATTGCTTAAAGATTACTTTAATGTGATAAAATTGTGAGAATTCTTTATATCTGAACTCCAAGGTACACGAAGTAAGCTGGTATCCTACAGTCAGCTTATCTTCAGCCTCTTCTTCTAGACTTTACTGTATATTTCTGCAACTGATTTCTGACAACCAGTAGAAAGCATTTACAGAAGACAGTAAAATTTTAACCCTATTTTGCATTTATATAAGATTTTAAAATTAAAAAACTTGTTTTTAAAAATAACACTTCTGAGACAAATATTCATTATCTCCATTCTACTGAGGAAAATGGTGCACTACAGAACGATTAAATAACTTGCTTAATACCATCTGATTTATTCGTGGTCTAGATGTTTTTTCAGCATAGATCTTCCAACATCACAATTCTTGTAAGACATGGAAAGAATTAAAATAATTTTCTCTCAGAAGAAAAATCTCAAGACAAAAATGGATAATAATAATAATAATAATAATAATGACCACTGAAGAGCAACAACTACTCCATTGACACGAGGCTCATTAATTAAGGGGAAATTGAGCCCACTATGCCAGGCTGGTACTATGGAGGAAGTAGGTCCGCTGTACTTGAATTTTGATTCCTTCATCTCCACCATTTTGAGCATGTCTGTAGATGATAGTGCATTTGTGTCAGAGGTGGTAACATCTCAAACAGCAGCAGGCACAGATGACCTAACATGATATAAATATGACATAAGATATTTTCAGTGGGTAAAGTAGAAGACTCTGTGAAGAGCTTTTATGGTAAAAACAAAAACATTTGAATGGGATTTATTTATTTTTAATTAATTA